TTGTCGGTAGTGTTTTCTTTCCAGAAAAGAGTTCTTCTGTGTATCATGGTTTTAACAAAAAGGCAGCTGGGACAATAAAACATGTGGATGTTAAGATGTCAGCATTCCACAACTGCGTCCATGTGGCTTGTGTATGTTTGTGTGCCTAGTCACACATGTGTGTTCTGCCCCAGTCATCTCCTTTCCTCCCCCACAATGACTAAGAGCAGCACGATGCAATGCTCCATAGCAGCCACTAGAGGTGCCATCTGCTCATAAATGAAAAGAGTGGGCTGTCTGTGGAAACCACAGAGCAGCCATTTTACAATGTGAACACCAGACCCCATTTTATGAATCAGCCATGATGTCAACATAGCCAGGACTGATTCTATTGGCTAGAGCGCAGCTGGCACTGAAGCACTGTAGATTTCCACATGCACAAAGACACATGCTCCCTCACTGGGTCTCTGCTGCTCCCAAAGACACACACACACACACACACACTGACCTCGTGACATGATGCTGCTACCAGATCACTCGTCTTTTTCCAAACTGAGCTGTTTAGATTACTATCCAGATTAATCTTCTTTGTAGTATATCTATATACGAGTGTCTATTGTACAGGTCACCATATCAGTATTTGCATGTGTAAGGATCTCAGGGATTTGATGTTGTGCTTTAAGCATTAACTTAATTTCTTCCATTTTTAGATGGCATATCTTGAATTATTTCCTGTGACTGTCCGTTTCCTTGTTTGTGTCTCTCTGATGATGTTTATTTGTGTAAGCTTGCAACTTCCTTTCTTTATAACATTTCAGCTGTGACTTTCTCTTTGTGTTTGTGCAAGACAGTCATTTCCGCTCAGATGTCCTGATGGATTTTCCTATCCTGTGTGTGTCTGTGATTCCTGGCTTCCTGCTTTGGTTTCCTGGCCTCAGCAGGGACTAGTAATGAAACACTGAACATGCAGTAGTACTGCTGGTGGTGAAACACACAACTGAATATACTGATATAATGCAAACTATATGACAACACACATAAGCAAAAGTACAAAGTCGAAGCCTAAGATACAAATGGTGGTTGACCATCAGTAGGGAGTTTCATAAAGCTGAAGCTAATACTGACAGAAACAATGGGCCTTTTTAAGGCTGCAGTCAACTGAACTGACTGTTCTGTGTATATCTGTGTGTCCTGAATGAATGGCTAAACTGAGAGATGAGGAGCTCATTAGGAGCCTGGCTCATTAACAGCCTGCTTGGCTGATAGGTGTCTCACATCGAGACAAAGCACTGTTTGACTGGACATATTGATGAGTGGACAGATGAAGGAAAGAACTGTGAAGCTGTTGTTGTCGCCGTTGTCTATGCGGAGAATAGATTACAGTGCCGCTGTTTGACCAAAATCATCTTTTGCTTTTCTAATAAACTGCACTTGAAGATAAACACTCGAGTATGATACAGTGGAATCACTGAGGAAATTAAGAAATTAGACTGCTTATACAGTAGGGGTAGGTAACTGAATGGAACTGAAAATAGATTTTACTAACACTGATAATTAAGCACACATAAGGGTCGGTCCGTATCCGCATTTCTATTTCTCTTTTTGCCCTTCTACTTGCCTTCTCTGTGACATTAAAACCATAACCTTTGATGTCACTGCATCAGGTCATCTTTAGGCAGTTGAAGCAGGTAGTCTGCTGATGATGAAAGGTTTTTGCCGGCACCATTGTTGACTTTTTGCAGTAGCTTCTTTTTGTATATGTGTGGAGTTCTTGTATCTCAGCTTTATAAAGATGAGGCAAGGATGCAGCTATAGACAGGCTGATAAGTCTCAAATTGTGATTTAGTTGGAAAAGATACACTCAGGGTTATAGACCAGCATGCAGCAGAAGGAAAAACCATGTATTTTATGGACTAGTCGGCAAAACAAAATGTGAGTCCCTGCAAACCAGCAAGTTTTGTAATGTATCATCTGGTATATGCAGCTGATGGTTCTGCAATGTGCATACCAAATTTAAAGCAACATTGATGGAAAAACTCTGATGATAACACATTTATAAGACCATAACTATAGATGATTGATACATAGAGTCAGGTGATTTTATTGCTCTGGCTCTATGCACAGCTCTTGATTTGTCTTTCGATAAAATATCAAAAATCTATCCCAAATTTACTTCAACTCTTTTTCTGACCCACAACTGAAAATTCATTTAAACAATATAATGAGATACAAGTAGCTTATAAATATCAAGTACAAATGGTTAGATATTGATGGAAACAACAGTTGTGACATCTGGATCTCTGCTGACCCTAATGTGCCTGGCTATGTGTAGAGTGGGCTGCTATGTGGTCAAACCCGTGTTCATCATTCACTCCTCATTCTAATCTAGTTCACATCCCCCCCCCCACACTCTGACACATCCTTACAGTCACAATCCTGACCTTGTCAAAAGAAGTTAATGAAAAATGCCTCTGAGTGTGAGTGTGTGCAATAGGTGGGTGTGTCTATGTGCAGCGTGGTGAATCCAAACTTCAAATGCCTTACAGCGAACAACTGTCTGACCATATTTAAAAGGCCCACATGCTCCAGGGACATGTTTCCCCTGGTGCTGCAGCCATTTCATGTTAGTTCAGTTGTACCCCAAACCACTGATGTGATATTCCTGACACCTCCATGACACCATACAGTTTGGAGAAAATGAAAAAAGTAAAAGCTGTGCCAAGTCTGTCAGTTTTTATAGCCATCACAAGTGCCCTCTGTCCATCAATCTAATCCACTTCTGTCTTTTATCCCACTAATGTCACTACTTCCCCCCTCCTGCAGTGTTATTTCTGTTTAAGGGTACAAGTCATTTAAAATTATGAAAGATGACAAGAAAATTTTGTTACAAAGGCTCCTCTTTTTGCTTGCCGTAAGGGAATATAAAGTTTTCCTTGTCTCTGTCCATATCTACAGCTAAAAAGGAGCAGGATGGTGGGGATGAAAAGAAACAGGTGCAGAAGAAGAAGGTGAAAGAGCTGAAGATTCTTGACTCAAAGTCTTCACAGAATCTCTGTAAGTCCACTATCCTGATACCACTATATTCATGACCATGCTTTTTATGTATAAAATGGGGCATAATTAAGTAAGTCATGCTTCTTGTGTTTTTCTCATGAAGCTATTTTTCTGGGATCGTTCCGTATCCCTTATGAGGAGATCAAGAATGCCATCCTGCAGGTTAATGAGAAGGTCCTCACAGAGTCCATGGTTCAGGTATTGACTGAGTGTTGTTATGCATCTGTTCATTTGTATTATAAAATAAAATATAGTTATTTGATAAAAAGGATTTTCTCTTTCCTTTATTCCTATGTGTTACCTCTCATACTAGATTTATAGGTTTAATGTGTTTGACTGTCTGTAGACTGATAAGTGAAAAAATGAACTGGATGATGGTGTGTGCTTCATCTACACTTTTATTTCAGAGTGCCTGTTTTGTTGATTTTCAGCAAAATGACATTTTTATTTAACTTTATAAGGCTTTCAGTTACCCTGAAGTCATATTAAGATCCTTATGACATAGTAAATAAAAATCCAACTTTTTCAAGCTTCTTCATGTGTCTTCCAGTATACATTTCTCTCATTGTCACTTAGAACCTGATCAAGCAACTGCCAGGACCAGACCAGCTGGGTGTCCTGGCAGATATGAAGGATGAATACGATGACTTGGCTGAGTCTGAACAGTTTGGAGTAGTGGTAAGGAAACTTGCATATACATGTGCAAATGAAAGCGCAGGGAAAAAATAGACACTTCTCTTTGATAAGATGGTTATTGTTAAATTGTCAGCTGACTTGAAGCTGACTAACCACAAACTTGTTGTGGTGTCAGTATGAGTTGTAGAAAGTGTTGAGATGGTTCGTTTTCTAAGATGGTTTGTCAGTAAATTAGACACACAGAATGTCCTCATGCTGTTAAACAAAGGGGCTTTGTTCAACTGTAGATTTCGGTAATGGATGAACTCACTGCACTTACCCATAATTGCATGCTCTCAGACACGTGCAGACACACACACACTCACTGTAGCAACAAACAGGGAATGGTCTCGTATGCCCCTCTCTTGTTTTTCCAGATGTCCAGTGTGAAGCGGTTGATGCCACGGCTTCAGGCCATCTTGTTCAAGCTGCAGTTTGAGGAACAGCTGAACAACATCAAGCCGGATGTGGTGTCTGTGACAGCAGCTTGTGAAGAGCTTAGGAAAAGTGATACATTCGCCAGGTTGCTGCAGATCATCCTCCTTGTTGGGAATTATATGAATTCTGGCTCTCGCAATGGAGCAGCATTCGGCTTCTCCATATCATACCTGTGCAAGGTGAAGTGAAGGGGGATCATATGACACACACCCACAATAAAAACTGAATGAATCTACTGAAAATCCTGTATGTAACTGGAGAAATACTGACTTTTTTGTTGTTGTTGTTGTATTGTCTTGTTTGGCTCTTCTTCGGCTTCGTCATCATGGCGTCAGGTACAGGATATATTACTAGCATAAAGACTTGAGAATAGTAAATTCTTCATCTTTAAATATTGCTACACTGAGTGTATAAACACTATACTGTACTTATAGTTGTACTTTTATCACATGTTTTAATAATAGAAACTGGGCAATAAAAGTCCAGTCAAAATGTACATTCAGGATTAGAAACTACTCACACCTATGTTGACATTGTGTCCTTTTTTAAAATACCTCTTTCTTCTAATTAGCTTCGTGACACAAAATCAGCTGATCTGAAACAGACACTGCTCCATTTCCTTGCTGACGTGTGCCAGGAGCAGTATCCTGATGTCATGAGCTTTGCAGATGAGCTCATTCATGTCGAAAAGGCCAGCAGAGGTGCGTGGGACATGTAACCCATATTATACATATTATTTTAGCAGATCTTTAAATAAAGTGTGCTTATATTGTTTCAGCAAATAGCACATCATACCTGAGATCTATTTAATGCTCTTATTCACTGTATCAGTCACTTCAAGTCAATACCAATATGACAAGCTTCATCTGTGGGTGCTTAGCAATGACAACATTTTCCTTGTCCATGGCAGTTTCTGCAGAGACAGTTCAGAAGAACCTAGAAATGATGGGCCGTCAGATCAAGAGCCTGCAGAAAGATTTGGAAACCTTTCCTCCTCCACAAAATGATAAGGACCTGTTCGTGGAGAAGATGTCGATATCCTTTCTATTCAGCTATTAAATAGAATTGCTCAGTTGGCCTCATTTAGTCAATGAGTTTTGTTTTTTTGTTTTTTAAAAAAAGAAATCAATGGAAATGTCATGTCGTGATGACATTGCTTTTTGTGTTTTCTTGTGTTTGAATGACACTCCTGTGTACCTTAACACAATGTATTTACAGCTTTGTGAGCCATGCCCAAGAACAGTATGAGAAACTAGATCTGATGCACAAGAATATGGAAAAGCAATACAGTGATCTGGGAGACTATTTTGTCTTTGACCCGAAAAAGATCTCTGTCGAGGAATTATTTGGGGATCTCAACAACTTCAAAAACATGTTCCAGGTGTGTATGTGTAAGTCTAAACGAGTAAGGAAGTAAAAACAAGGTTGTTATGGTTTTCAGTCTTTTTTTACCAACCTACGAAATGAATGTGTGTGTTACAAACAAAATTAAACACAAGTTCAGTTGCAAATAATGTAATGCATCAAAGGCAAATATCAAAAGGATTGACTGTACATCTGACTGTGTTGACAAAATAATGAGTCACTCCATTATATTATCTGTTTAAACATTTGGGAGGGCTCCACCTAAGATAACTTGTCTGCCAGTCATAAAGAATAATGGCCAGTACTGGTTTTGAAGTTTTGTGTACAAAACTTCATTCATCATATCCATCATACATGGGTTGCTTTATTCACTTTCACTCTTTCAATGTACCGGTATGTAAGATATTCTTAAACGATTTCTGTGTTGAATTTATGTAGCTAGAACTTAATATATTTTCTACTTCTTTCCCCAACAGCAAGCAGTGAAGGAGAATCAGAAAAGAAAGGAGGCTGAAGAGAAGATCAAGAGGGCCAAGCTGGCGAGAGAGAAAGCAGAAAAGGAAAAAGAGGAGAAACTCAAGAAGAACCAGCTCCCAGACATCAACGCAGGTCACCTTTGCTGCATAATATATATTTATGTGCATGTCAATGAACTGGAGAGACACTTGCCACGTCTCTTCCTTTGCATTTCCCTCAGATTCCTGTTGGGGGCAGTCTGAGTCCACACATCTGGTGTGTGTGTGTGTGTGTGTGTGTGTGTGTGTGTGTGTGTGTGTGTGTGTGTGTGTGTGTGTGTGTGTGTGTGTGTGTAAGAGCAGCCCATTTATTGACCAAAGTTAATCTAATGTTGATGACCTGTTTTAAAGTAAACAAGAAACAATGATGCTTCACATAAACTGAGGACAGCATTGAAGTGCCTGACCTCTTTTTCACTCCTCCAGTAATCATGAAATTTTCCACCCCCCAAAAAAATACAGAAATAGCTCCCAACTCTCCTTATCAGGAAAAAACATGTTTCCACTCTTCTGGTAATGCTTTTACACTTTAAAAATTGCTGGTAGCATTATTGTTCCCTTTAACAAACACATGCATTCTGACTCTCTCGTCCCTGTCTACACAGTAAGCACTCAAATCCTGCCTTCGAGACGCATATTTATACACAGACTTTTTCCCTCCTCTCAGTCTGTGACCTACTTTCAGTGCATTCCTCCTCTCTCTGGCTCCACTTATGTTCTGCAGAGCCCCTGCTTTTTCACTGTAGAAATGTGCTATAGCCTTGGTGCTCTAAAGTGTGTGTGTGTGTGTGTGTGTGTGTGTGTGTGTGTGTGAGAGAGAGACAAATGACTGTGTCATTTTGTTAATGTTTTTTGTTTTGCTTTGCCCATGTGTTGAAGAAACATTATGGTGGCCAAAATGTGTGTGTGTGTGTGTGTCTGCTTTTCAAACTCTTACAAAAAGTCTTTCTGGGCTTTATTCTCGTAGTGCATGTTCCAGCTGGCTTCTTTTCTCTTCTCCCCTTCTTGCTTTTATTTTACCACTGCCAGGTTTTCCCCTTTAGCTCTCCTTTTGTATGCAGTTCATTTAAAGGGCAGTTCAAGCCACCAAGACTCCATTTAGAAAATTTTGCCTCAGTATTTAAAGTATGGAAGATATATATAATAGAAAGTAAAGTTTCATGTTCAGCCTCTCGAGACGTGCACACATGGAACATAATAGTGCCTCAAAGATTAGTGTCTCTGTGCACACATTTAGTGGACAGGGATCATTTACATACAGGTGGAATATTTGACTGTCCTGTAGCCTGGAGTCCTTCTACACCCCCTATTTGAATTTAACCACACACAAATTTGGCACACCCACCCACCTGGTCTTTGTTCTGTATTTGTTTATAACCCTCATACTGGCTGCTATACAATGGCTGTTTTCAGCAGCTGTGCTTTCACACGCTGACATGTTCCTGGTTCCCTTTTTTCTGTCTCTCACGAATCTACTTGCATACCCTTACTATCTCATGAATTCTCTGAATGTTCCTTTGACTTTCTGTCTCTGTAAACATATAATACCAGTTGTTGGTTAAACCCTGGAAGGTCAGTGTATGTTTGCAGTTTGTGGCCTTGCCATTCCCATGTGAGTCAGAGACTTAGTGGAGTCTCAGTTTGCACATATTCTAAGCATGTGGTGCTAGTTACTGTGTATAAATCATGTTGAGATTCTTTGGAAATCATTACATGTTGTCGTTTTTATAATTGACTCATTAAGTGCTTTGACTTGCCTTTTCTGACTCGCATAGCAAATATAAATACAGGGGTCAGTATACTAAACTGGCAGAGTATTTTGTTGCCACACCCAGTACTTGACATTCCAAGCTTTTTAGCTTTTTGCTCTAATTTTATCTGTTAAAAACAGTCTACTACTATCCCTGGGCCATCTTTGGCTATACACCAAAGCTTGCTGCTACTATTCCTTATTTCTACAGCTAGGTGTCAGTACAGTCTGTAAAAGAATACCTGAGACCATTTTTTTTAATCTATGTGGCAAAGGGTGTTTGCATGTCTGGTTTATCCTCACATAGATGCTTGTATGGGAACTACCACTGGGAGTGCCCGTGCTCCACACAGAGAGCAAGTGAGGAAACAGTAGTGTGGGGGAGGGTAGAGGAAGGAGGATAGTAGGGCAGCAGATGCTCTGGTGGGGATTAGACTGCTGTTGTCTCTTTGAAAAGGGGGTTAGAAGAGAAAGGCGCAAGCCACAAGAGGGGATGAGACAGGATAAGCCTGAGTTGCCTGATGTCTTCACTGCAGGTGACTGTGAAAAATGGAGAGATTCATGGCACATTAGAAAAACATTAGAAAAAAGATCTCTCCACTCACTGATTTTCTTTATCATGCTGTCATCTGCACGTTTGCCATCATCAACAGCTAAATTTTTCCAATTCTATTTTCATTTGTTGATGTGTGAACATCCATTAGGGGTGCTATTGATCTACACAAGATTATATGCTGTGGTGACGGAGCTGTGTGTGTGTGTGCGTGTGTGTGTGGGAAAGAGATGTGAGACGTGTCAGAGCGTGCGCGCATTTATTGCAAATCGGATCGAAAGAGACATCTTTAAGAGCTCACAGTCTAATGCCATTGCCCTAATTAATCCATCTTATGTTCTTACATGCTTTAGTCAGTAACTTACTATTTGTGTCAAGCACTAAATATGTGTGTATTCCTTCTGCTTTTTATGGTCAGTAGTATTATTGAATCTTATATTTTTTAGGCTTATTTCAATGTATGATAATTAGTTAATTGACTTTCAAGTACCATTCAGTACCAATGAAAACCAGTGTCTTGTGTTTCCCCTTTATGTCACTTATTGCTAACAAAGTAAACTTGTAAAACTGCTTTTTGATTTAATAGTGTTGCTCAATACTATTGAGAGCACAGGCCCCTAGGCCTGTAAGCTGAGTCTTCATTAGTTCAGTAATGTTTTATACACAGCTAGGTCATTGTTTGGTCCTTCAGTGCCTTCAATGCAGTGTTCCAAAACACAGTTGTGTGTTTGTGTGCTTGCAAGCATGTTTTAAGCCAGCCATGTGATTGACGCAAGCGGAAATTTGCCAGATGTGTTTCCCTTGAAGAAGAAAAATCTCTGATTTTGATCCCAGTCTGCAGTTCTAGGACATGGACATTAAGGGGTGTATATGAGCCACGGTAGTCTTGGGATGTGTGTAAGAGAGACTTTCTCTGACGTGACAGGCGAGACCATAGGCCATCTGCTTCATGGCTTACTGCAGGATTAAATATTGTGCGTGTGAGCAGAGCTGTGTGCTGTGTTTGGATGTGGGGGTTGGGGAACAAACCGAGAGCCAGCATAAACCTTTAACCCCCAACCCCGCTGGCCCTTCCCCAGACCCCTCTGTCTCCATTCAGGTTCAAACAAAAATAATTAAAGCCATCTGCGTGAGTGCTGAGCCATGCCACTGAATGTTGCCCACAAAATAGTCAAAGTAGTACTCTCACATGTTGCTTTGAGATTGGGCATCCTGCCTGGTTTAGCCCACCTTCTTTTATTTATTGCCACCTGACACTGAAGCTCTGTTGAAAATGTAGCTGTAAACAAAAGAGACCACCCATGTTAGCTGTACCTGTAAACTTATACAGATAAAAGGTTAATTTCCAGTTTGTACCAGTTTAACTGGAAGCCACAATTATGCATTCATTCTGTTTATGTGGATTTGGTTTCAGCGGCTGTTTTTCCAATAAGTGTGGGCTTGTGTATATCTGAAGCAGTCTCCCTGAAAATGCATAGTGTAGCCCCTAGCTGTGGAAGTAGCTGAAGTAGGTCACTGCTTATCTGGGTTAATGTAGCTAATTTAACAAAATAGCCACGTGGCTGGTGAAGATCCACACTGTGTATAGTGCTATATTAGAAAAACAGAAAACTCTGTAAAAGCACCAGTGTCTCTCTCTCTCTCTCTCTCTCTCTCTCTCTCCTGTTGTTAGATGGCTAGTATTGATTAAAAATAATAAGCCTGTTATAATGGAGCTGTATGTGTGTGTCATGCATAGAAGTTAAAGTGCTTCATTACGTATTAATACTGATCTATCGTTTCTTGATTTATTACTGATTATGTTTTTTGATGGTGTTTACAGAGGATGATGAAACTGGTATCATGGATGGCCTGTTGGAGGCGCTGCAGTCCGGTGCTGCTTTCAGGAGAAAGAGAGGACCACGTCAAGCAGGTACTCACACACAAGCAAAACAGTAAATCTTCACAAAATATGCATATGTTTCCACGTTTCATGCGTTACTTGCTTTACAGATTTCAGTTTACTTCCACAGATATATAAGACTCATTTATTCTATCTCACTTTCCATTCTGTCTCCAATCTTCTCTCAACACAACAACAGATTTGTTTATGTTCCTTTGCCTTTGTTCCATCTGTTGCTCTGCTCACAGGCTGAGTTGTGGTAATATTCTTTCACCATGGTTATAGGGGCAAAGCCAGTGCAATCAGAGGCTGGCACAACAATAAAAGAAGAGGGAGAGTGCCAAGGGTGGGTGTGGACAGTAGGATACTTTAGGGAGAAACAACTGCTGAGGGTGTGGTGGTGGAGTAGGAAAATATGATAAATAATGACTGTAGGAGGGGGATGAAACCAGCCCGTAGGCAGAAAGTTTGTTGACGTGAGTGGGCAATACAAAAGTTGTGGTAAGTTATTGTCGGCAAAAGTATGAGGACACAGGTGCCTTTAGCAACTTCAAGTCAACATATGTTTTGCTCTTTGTCATTTTGAGATTAAACTCCATTTACACCAAAGGATTTATGAGCAGAGTTGGACCCACATAGTCGTTACAAAATACCAATAGTTTTACAATATTACACTAAAAGAGAAAATGTAAAAGTTTACATTATTATAGCCTTGGTGCTCTCAATTTCATTGACTTATTAGACATTGAAGTACTTTCTCCCACTTTCCTATTTTGTTTGCCATTCTGTGGCTTGTATGGCCTAGTAAGATCATGCAAATGAAAGTGAGGCAGCAGGAATTGTTAGTATAGTAACTTTGTAACATGATTCCTGGTTGTGAGTGGGAAAGTGTCCCGCTGCCCATTAGCTAAGAAAGAGAAAACTCTAGAGAGACCGTGTGTGTGTGTGTGTGTGTGTGTGTGTTTGTTCACACGCACTCTTGTGTGGGTTCAGTTTTCGCACATAAGCAGGGTTGTGGAAGAGTTTGTGCAACCCGATCCCTTTCACAATAGAAGCCAGATGTGAAGCACTGGTCCTGAATTGCACTAAGACCCAGAAGGTAGTCCCTGCTCTTTTCTCTTCCTACTAATCTGTTGTTTTTTGTTTTTTGTTTATACAACTCTTTCAATTCTTTATTTTGGACTCAGAATTGATAATCTTTGAAAACTTTTGGGTTCTTTTTGGACCCCACTTCCATCTATAAAAACTGGTGGACCTACAGTGTATGTTAAACCAAAACATTCTTTAATTTCCTCCAGACATTTTGTTTGTGAAAAGTAGAACGGATAAACATCCTTGGAGCTGAGCTGTTCCTTGTAGAAATCCTACATTTTGTGACTGTTTTGTGACTGTTCCATGTCACCAGAGTGCTAAATTGGACTGCCAGGGAAAAAAGATCTGAAGTCAGGCAGATCCAGCCTCCCTGACTTTAAAGGAATATCTCAAGTCTTACTTACAATGAGAATAGCTTTTTCAAATAAATACAGTTATAGGTATTTGTCCCTTATTTTTTTTATCTGTTGTTACTCTCTCTCTTTTCCACATTTCAGTTACCTCTCAGATGTAATTTTCAGACTAAAAGGGGGAAAAAAGCAGAAAAACAAATAAAGTAACAAATAGCTCAGGCTCATCACCACTAAACTGGCTGAGATAGCAGTGAAAATTAAAATGAAGGGAGAAGCAGGAGCAGGGAAGAAAGAATGGGGCCCACTTGAGGACTCAGTCATCCATAATGCTGTTGGGCCACCTCACACTCCCAACAGGAAATACCTGAACATGTGTATGTGAAAGAAAGGGAGGGAAAGAGCTTTCCTCCCTGCACATACTTCTGTGGTAGGAGATTGTCGGAAAATATAAGTGGCTCGATGTATCACATCTCTGCTTAGTCCCTCCCCCCTGTCTCCTCTCTTACCCCATGGTGTCATTTCTGTTTTTGTTCTGCCAAAGTTCAGGCTTTTCCATGGAGAATGTGGAGGGTGTGAAGCAGTGCTGTTTTTTTGTTTTGTTTTGTTTGTTTTTTGTTTTTTGGTGGCATTCTTATCCTTGTTAGGAGTTTTTCCTGACTGGTATTCAAAGGTTTCTCCTTTCCACTATGCCCACTTTGCTTCTTAATGCCAGGAAGAGCCTTGAGTCTTTCACCTACACAGCAGGAAGTGTATGTGTATGTGTTTGCACACATGTTTGACTAGCCAGTTGAGTCATAAGTCTTAATTTAGTAAAGCTGAAGTAGGAGGCACATCCTGACTCTGGCTCAACATATCTGGCACCAGTGAAGCCACAGGCAGCCTTACAGAGCAGGGAAAAAATATTGTATGTATGTATAACCCCTTCACAGATGTTATGTATAATATCATATGTGTTTAAAAAATGTTGCACACAGGGTAAATTGAAAAAACATAAATACAAGTCAGAGTAAAAGTACATTTTTTTCTGTCTCTGTTATGTAGTAACACATCACTAAGGAAATGCAGTTCTGTGAAAAGGTTATTCATAATCTTATCACAGGGAGATAATGTGAGGTAGATGCATCTAAACTGTAAAGACTCATAAAAGTGGCATCATTGAGTTTCTCAAATCCCCCATCCTTTCTTGTTTTGACATTTATTAACAAATACCAGTAGGTGGGGCACTTGGTTGCAGGTTTTGCCTCCAAGTATTTTCTTTTCCTCGCAGTTAAAGCACAAATAGTGTTATTACAGATCGGATGTTATGAAATGGGTCCAATCATTAATGCCCTTAAAAGTATTTTCTCTTAGGTTATAAAATATAGTCACAATGAAACCCAACATTAAAACCCTAAAAAGGAGTTCCTGCTGCAACACACCCTGATTTCATAATTTTGTTGAATGAGAAACGGGAACTGAGGCAGAGCTTGATTAGCTTAACACTGAAAAGTGATAATCAAAACCACAATAAATAAGACAGTATACATGTATGTGTCTACTCACTTTCAGTCTAAATATGCTACTAATACTGAAGTTTTTACTGTTTGTTTATATTGTTTTAAATATACATTATATTCTTCTTGACAAATGTAGCCCTCATCTGCAGATAGACTTAAGATGGTGCATTGATTGCTCTTCATTAAACAAAATAAAATATGTAATGGGGCTGTAAGTCATTCAGGCTTGTTTAGAGTCATAACACAAGCCACTGTAGTCTAATGATATTTACTTATCTATACTCATGTCTAGACTTCCATCTTTCCGCTTGAATAAAAGTAACTGCTCCCAGTCCAACATTATTGGTTCAGTTTCAGTCATTACTGTTGCAGGTACAGAAAGAATTTCAACATAGCAGTGTAGAAACCCTACAGCCAGCTTACTGAAGGTATTTATCTGTTTTGCATTTATTGGCAGATAATAGAGAAAAATGTTTGGGTTTTGTGAAAAGTACATTTAAGACTGTCTCGTTACACCAGAGGTGTTGTTTATAGATCATAGTTGAAAATGTGGCAACACCATGCACTCTTTGCAATTCATATTATATGTATACAAGTGATATCCTATTGTAAAATGATATATAACCTGTGTAA